GTTAGATGTTCCGAATCCGCTAGTACCGTTTGAGAAGCGGTACCTAGCGGATTCGGATCATCTAATTTTAATTAGATTGATGAAAGTGTAAATGAGCGTGTTTCAGAGGAGGGGTACTGAGAGTGTAATTCGGAGTTTAATAACTTGTGTAAGTTGTGTTTTTATTATATCATGGGTTAAAAATTTATTTCCGAAACAAGTGCCTGTGCAAGTTTAGATGGAACGTTCTATCGTTAAAAATGATATTGACGAGACATTTTCACCCTTCCTTTAATAACTGTCGTTATTTTTATTTATTAGATCCTATTCTTTTTATTTTTCTTTGTCCTGTTATCTGTGGATATATATTAAATGAATTATATAAAGCACATTACAAAAAAAAAATCTTATATTGGTCTTTTTTTTAATTCTGAATACTGAATTCGCATTTCGGATATTTTGCTTCCGTCTTCATCATTTTAAATGTTACATTAAGAAAAATGGCAAAAAGGGACATCATTGGGTTTTTACAGTCTGTAAGAGCTGGTTTGTTAAATGTAAGTATTTTCCATATTCAGTTAAATTAAATGTATCCAATTTACCCGATATGGAAGCTCATCACATCTCTTTTGGTGTTATTTTGGGAAGGTGATGTGTATTGGGTTATCTCGAATTTCCTCAAAGTTTGTTGACATTATCAAAATGATAAACTTTGATGAAATGATGAATACCAAATTTAGAAATAAGACAAACAGACAAAACTAAAGATACACTAAAAATCGAAATTGAAATAACCATTTGTTATCTTAAGATTCTCCATGTTTTGTGAAATGTCAACGAACTTGGAGGAAATTCGAGATGAATTTATACAAATGATTTATAGTTTCTTTGAATAATATTAATGCAACATGATTAACGCAAATATCAGGGAACTACAAATATTAAGGTTGCTTTTGTTGATAAAGAAATTGAAAATGGCCCAATTTAAAAAAAAAGATTAATAAATTGAATTGGCAATTGACATTAATCATGTTAATTTTGATGGAACTGCATGTACACATTTCAAAAATATTTATTGGAAAGAGGCCTGTTCAACAGACTGAGCACTCTCAAACTTTTCTGTTGGAAGTATAAGGAATTTTGGTAAGCGTTTGCCAAGGTTCGCACTGTTGAACAGTCCTCAGGTTTCTCTTTTTTATTCAAGGAAAATTACCTCTAACTTAAAACAAGATAAATCAATGTTTGTCTTTGTAGATAAAACATCCTGATAATTATTTACGATTTCAAGTTGGAAAGGAACTATCTGCAAGGTATGATGATTAAATTAATAAATACAAAAGGATTTTATTCCTTGACATAAAGAGTCATGAAAGACAGCAAAATGTGTTGAAACATGTATTTGCCATCTTCAGTTGCTTTTATTTCATATTCTGTAGAACCCAGCCAGCACCAAACCTCCCAGATGGCCCAAGTCACAAATTGTCTGCTAATTACTATCTAGAAAGAGATGCCCGTCGCCTGGTGGAGCCACCAGAGGAAATAATGTCTGGAGGACAGAAGCTCCTCCCAGATACAGCTGCTTCAGAGGGAACTGGGTAAGATTTCATCACTTATCCAATATCTTCATAAACTAGATAATAGCAATATACCCCCCCCCCCCCCCCAAAAAAAAAAAAACAAAAAAAAACATCAACAACAAATTATTAGAAGAATGAATAGACTAGAAATTTTAGCCCTGGAAAAAAAGGTTTAAGTTGATTTTTTAAAAAGTTAAGCTTTAATATAAACGTTTTTTTTTCCTTCTATTAAATAGATAATTGATAATTAAATCTTAACTGTGTATTCTCAATACATAATTATATGGAACTGAAAAATCTTTTCAATGAAAATGAGACCTGAAGATTTCTTCAAGATCAATAAATAAAATCAAATGCTGTACCTAATACAATTATGTACATACTGATCTTGCTATATTAGCTGCAAAAATGTAGCACTCCAAAAAAGAAATACACTGAAAGACTGTAGAACTACAGTGCAGTGCCACCCATTGAAAAAAGTTGTTTGAATTTGGAGTGAATAATCGCAACTTTTTGTATATTATAAATATACATTTTTTTCTATGGTTGGCACTGTAGCTCTCTGGTCATCCGTCCCAATTTTTCAGACCAGTGAGATACAGATCAGCAACTAATCTCGCTATTGCTTGTGTTAATAAGCTAATTCATAGAATCTGATTCTCCCGCTTAAGGAAAAAGCTAATTCAGAGAATTCAGTGTCCCCTGCTTAAGGAAAAAGTAGAGCATGCACTGATTTGTGGGGAGGGAGGTTGAGGGGGGCACTTCAAGAAGGGATGGTGGGGCCATACATGTAGGGAGACATGGTGTAAAATTTAATTGCAGAAACTCAAAAGCTTCATGAGATATCTCCCAGAAAAGAAAGTTTTACACATACACTCGCACACAGAATGTATGAGTTCATGTCCTTGACTTTTGAACTTTTGACCTCAAAATAAACAGGGGGTTTTCCTTAAGTCAGAGGTAGTTATGGTAGGCCATAGTGAGGTGTGGTATAATAAAAATATCATTAAAAATGCTTAAAGGCTTCTCAAGATATTGCACAAAAATTAATGAAAGTGTTAATTAAAACGGACAAAGTTTGTGAATTGACCTTGACCTTTTGACCTCAAAATCAATAGGGGTCTTCCCTAGACCATTTGGAGTTGTGTAAGATTTTATTGAAAAAGCTCAGAGGCTTCTCAAGATCTTGTGTGGAAACTAAGTGTTACAGACACACAGAAAAACAGTCAGACAGATGGATGGACAGACAGACAATTAATATCCTCATAGGGGTCTTTCCTCTTAAGGCATAGGAAGTTAATGCAAAAGTTCAAAGGCTTCTGGAGATGTGTGAAAATTAAATTGTGTTGAAGCAGAAAAAATATGAATTTATGAAGGAAGACCCCTATTTATTTTGAGGCCAAAAGGTCCAAGGTAGTGTTACATGTAATTCATTCATTGTGATGTGTAAAACTTTCATTTCTGGGAAGTAAGAAGTTTTTCTACTACAAGTCTCTAAACCCCCGTCTGTCCTTCTTAATCTTTATATGTCCCCCTCAACCCCCCCCCCCCCCCCCCCATCTGCTCATGCTCTTCTTTTTTTTCTTAAAGTAGGGGACAAAGATTTTTCTGAATTAGCTTGTTTAGTTCAGATTTGCCATATCAAGTGTTATCTAAACATACATAAACTTATAACTTATCAACAAAAGAACAATTTAATTTATTCTGATTTATTTTTATAATTTATATTCATGAATTAAATGTTTTCTTTTAGTGCCCAAGCCCCAGGATACAGATCAATTACACCAGGCAACCCGTATAATCCAACGTCCATTCAACTCCCTTACTAGATTGTGATTTTGTTGTTTGTTTAATAAATTCGACTGTACAACTTTCATGACTTGTCATATTGATACAATCAAATCAAGCGTCTACATTTTGAGAGATCCAATCCCGTTATCCGAATAGTCCAATCCTGATTCGGTTTTGTAAATTAGTGCGCATATACATTTTCCAGTTTGCGACTTGAGATTGGATCTATGTAAACAATGTTTGAATCGTTCAGGTAATTCAACACAACAGTAAATGAGTTAGTTGTTATCTGTGACAGTGATATACAGTAGATCTATATCCTTTATGTGCTCCTGTTTTTGAGAAATATTGAAAAAATTGAGATTTAAAGATTATATATTTTAATATATTGTTCAAAGCGCCTTCCAACACGGCAACAGCTAGGAAGCTTTCCCCGACGTTTTTTCACAAAGTACATGTAATTCAGATTCTGGAAGTGATTTCGTCTTGAAAATTTTAAATTGTGCCCCTGGAGGTTACGAAGCTTTTTTCCAGTTAACGTTAAAATAGTACACAAAAATATATTATCAACAAACACACGTATGTTACGTACGTTGCATGCAAATGAAATGTGAATTTTGTTTCGCGTTTTACTTTAATGACTCTCTAACTTTCTTTCGATTGAGAACCTTTTATACAAGTTGGAAATTGGGGGGGGGGGAGCTTGGAGATAAATAAATGTCAGATCGATAACGTAAAAGAATATTATTGAGAAAAGATCTGCATAAACCCCAACTCCATGTAGAAAGGAAAAATATAACATAATTAAAAGCATGAGAGGCTGATCTACTTTTGTCTTTTGTGCTATTTATTTTTGCAACTTGTCTTACTCCGCGACTATAAATTAAAATACCCCTTTTCCGCGATACAATTTTACTATCACGTTTTATTGATGCTTTTGTGGTCATCACTTAACCTGAAAAAAAAAATATTTGTATTGACATGTAATGTAACCACCCCCCCCCCCCCCCCCAATACAAAATAGGAGAAGGAGCACATGCTAAAAATAAGTCGACGAAAAGCAAAAGTTATCGTGGGAAGTAGTATATAACTTGTCGTAGAAAAGCAGGGGTTTTTTCGCGGGAAAGTTGTATCTAATCGGGGAAAGTATTTGATATGAATTTCATTTCAAATATTTTCCCTCGCATGCAAGTACAGGCAAGACCCCCCCTTTTTTTTTTCTTTCAAAATTTCCACGATTCGATACACCTTTTCCGCCAAAAAAAAAAAATCCTACATTTCTTCATAATGAAAGCAATCAAATCAAACAAGAAGCTGGTTGCAATCTCAGCATTTTTAAAATTAGAAAAAGTTTTCACATTTCCAAAAATAGTGCACTGATAAACGTTGATAATGCATTCAGTACAATAGAGGCAAGTGAATGCGAATAACAAAGACGCTCGATTGTTCTCACTTATAGAACGTGGAGGAATTCATGCCTCCTTGGTTTGCCCCCTCAACATATACACACATTTTTTAATAATATAGATTTATAAATACATTGAAAAATGAAAAACTTCCTTAGGAAGCACATTTATAAAAAACGGATACCTGAGCCAGCTTGTTTTCATTTTATATTAAGTAAACAATAGTGAAGTAATACATGTACCTCGTCGTACCCCAATGGAGATAACATGACTATTTCTTATATTACTTTATACAAGGGATATTGACTTATTATAATACTTATAGATAGGTCATAAGGTGGGTCAAGTGTGTAATTTTCAGACCACGACAAAGTAGAAACTGTAAAAGCCGATCTGAGGATGGATGGTACTCGAAAGAAAGATGTTTAAGGCGGTTCTATTGGGAGAAGCCGGTGTTGGCAAATCCTCCATATTCTTACGACTTAAAGAAAATGTCTTTGGGGAATTTCTTCAACCAACTTTGGGGATAGAGAGTTGTTCAAAGGTTGTCAAGATTGACGGTCAAAATATAACAGTAAGTATACATTTCCTGCTTCTGATTTATCGATTGTATTCACATTTAACCTTCGGCACGCCTAAGCTTAGTGATCAAGAAAGGAAATATGAACTATTCTTTAAAAATACTAAGGGTTCTACTTACAACTTATTTATCTTATTAAATATATTGACCAAATTTTCTGTTAGTTTTGCATCTGGGATACAGCAGGAGCAGAAAGATTTAAAACCATCACCCGGAATTACTACCGAAACACGCACGCTGTGTTCTTAGTCTTCAGCTGTGACGACCCGGCATCTCTCCACTACCTGTCTCAGTGGGCAGAGGACTGTACAAACCATGCACCAAAAGGCAAAAACTCAAAATTAATCTCTATTTTCGTTTTGTTTGTGTTCACTTTTCATTTCAACTGAATTCTTTGATTGACACACAGACAAATTATTTTCTTTGTAAATAAAGCGCTTGTGTCAATTTTTTTTAACACTATACATTTTGATTGAAGGAAGGATATGGAGATAACGAACAGTATTCAATCTCAAAGTCCATAAAACAATACAAAATAAAAGCAAAGCAAACACGGACCCCCGAAACATCAGAGGTGGGATCAGGTGCCATGGAGGAGTGAGCATCCCCTGCTGACCGGTCCCACCCACCGTGTGCTCCTTGTCTTGATCAGGAAGTAACGGAAAAAATCCGTCATCAATTCAGTGTATAAATAATGGACTAACAATTGGTATGAAAATCAAATATTAATAAATAATATTTATATTTATAACAATAATGAATCAAATACAAATTAATAACTAGCTTGGCAAAAAATGTTTAATCAAGTAGTTTTTTTTTCTTCATCAATGAATAACCATCAATGTTTTTATAATTTTCTTTTCTTTTTTTCAGTCGTGTATCGATAGTTCGTCAGTACTAAGATTTTAAATTACATTTCTATTGTTTTCAGCATTGAAGTTTCTTATTGGAAATAAATCTGATTTGGAAAGATTAATTCCTGTTGAAAGTGTAGATAATTTCGCCACAGCGTTTGACTGTGAAAACACCTACTTCATAAGCGCTAAAACAGGTAACTTTGAGTAACTTTATTTCATACTACAATTAAAATAGATATTAAAATGGTTAATATTTTTATACTGAGCCTAAGGTAGTTGTGATTAAGCAACACAAAGTTTCATTTATATTCATGATTTTGAGTTTAACTTTTGTACCGATTTGAAATATTTTTGAGATAGTCTCTCTGTAGTAACTCTGGCAGTGTCCTTCATCTAAAAAATATCATAGCATTGTGCGTCTTTGTTACCAGTTTTAGTGGACTCGAGCTAAAACTGTTGGAGGTGGGGTTGCAATTACCATTCATCAAAATAAAGGAGGCCCATGGTCACATCGCTCACCTGAGCAATAGCAGAAATCAGTTTAATATTGAAATGTTTAAACATGAAAGTACGACAGTCACACCACCCTACTTCGGGGATCATGAGTAACAAACTTCTACATTACCCCAAGGCTTGTTCAACAGAGCGAACATATCTGTTGGAGGTGTAAGGAATTTTGGCGAGCGCTAGCTCTATTGAACAGGCCTCTGAGCTTGCTTTTTTATATAAATACAGTGTATGACCAATCATGGTTTTACTGTTCTTGGAAAGAATATTTTTAAAAATTTTCTCCATGAAAAACTTAGATCACTATTCCTATTAATAATAATGATATATTATGGAGGAACGAACAGTAATCAAGCTCAAAAATCCATTGAAATAATGTTTTTGGAGCATAGACCTCTAAAATCAGGTACCATGAGAAGCAAGCATGCCATTCTCTTCTGCAATTTAGAAGCAGGAGCAGATACAAGAGGTAGGATAGACACCTACTTTTCACCTTCAGCTATTCCGTATAGTCTCTTCCAGAAAGATTACTATACACACTAGTGTCTGTCTTACAAAGAATGTAACTTATTACCACGCTTCAACACACAGCTTATAGCTCTGAAAATTAACAATTCAATTAGCAATGTATTGTTATTTCCAATTTTAGGTTCTGGAATTGAAGAAAGCTTCCAAAGAATTGGTGAAAGACTCATGGATGTTTTCAATACTCCACTTGTAATTGAATCTCAGTATAATGAAACTGTTGAAATCACCAAATTCAAAGCCCATAAGAGTGGATGCTGTCGGTGACCATGTTTATTTGACATACATCATATAGCTTCACATTGAACGGAGGATTACGTTTACTGGGGATGCAAGCATTTTTTCTTCTTTTCAAATAAACTGAACTCAAAACTTCTCTTTGTATATCTGTAGGACTCCAAAGTGCGATGGGACTCCAAAGATCGATGGTCACGCCAAAGTCCGATGGTCTGCGCCAAACTCCGATGGTTCGACACGCCAAAATTTGATGGTGAGGAAAACAACGTTTATGCCGTCATAGTACCACTGCGCAAAACCTCAATGCAGCACCATGCCAAGGTCTTAAAAATAAGTATAAATAAATGCAAAAACTAGCCCTTACTTCTCAGATAGGTGCGAGATTAACCCTAAACGCTCGAAAAGTGTGCATTAACAATAACCTAGATATCTTGGGTGGGTGCAAGACTAACCCTAATCACTCGACTATAGTGTGCGAGGACTAACTCTAAATCTCTCGGGTTGTGCAATACAATGACTTAACTTAATCAATCGAGTGTTGTGCTAGGACTAACCCTAATATCCCTCGAAATTGCAAGCAATAAGCAAAATCAATAAAATTGAATTCGATGACGAATTCAGAAATGATGGCTTTTGAATGCAGAACAACGGCGTCAAGGATTGACGTCGGATTATTGTGACGTCATAAACGTTGATTGTTCATCCGCACCATCAGATTTTGGCGTGTCAGACCATTGAAGTTAGCGCAACGTGTCTCCCAGGAAACGAGCCATCGGCTTTGGCGTGACCATCGGATTTTGGCAACCGGAAAGACAGCGAGCCATCGGGGTTTGGCGACACCATCGGACTTTGGCGTCACCATCGCACTTTGGAGTGTTACATATTTAATAAAGGTTTTATTAGTATGAAGCATTCCTTTTCTGTAGGAGAACTCTCATATTTGTGATCATCAGCATTATACTTTTTGCTAGTATGTGACAATATAAACTCAAAATTCTTTTCTTTTTTTTTATTCTTGAAATGAAAGGCAATACAGATTACTCAAATTTTTAAACAATAGATTTAACCCTTAGACATGATGAACAAACAGCGGTGAACATAAACCATGGACGATTGACCACGGTTGTCAGTCTCCCCATCAGCTGATCATGTCTTCTGTTGTTGTTGCTGTTGCTTTATTGCTGCTGTTGTTGATGTTGTTGTCGTTGCTGGTTGCTGTTGTTGAGTTTTAGAATTAAATCTGTTGTTATTTTTTAAGCGTCAGTGATGATAAATTGCACTCTCAATTAAGACACCACACTCTCCAGGTGTGGCTTATGTGCAGCAAAAGTCTCCACACAAAAACACACACTAATTCATCATCATCATTCATCATCATCTTCATCATCTTCCTCGTCATAAATAGTAAGATTTGGAGACTGTGGTGTCATGGGTAACTCTGCTTCCCTGCCATTCCAAGAACAATGGCCTGTATAAATAAAATTACGTTTCACAATTAACTATTAACAAGAGGCCCATGGGCCACATCGCTCACCTAAGAAGCTTTGGCCATGTCGTTCTTTACCAGAGTTCCCCCTTGTAATACATATTGTGACCCCACCTTACCCCAATGATCATAATTTGAACAATTTGAATTCTACACTATCCCAGTATGCTTCCATATAAGTTTCAGCTTTTCTGACCCAGTGGTTCTTGAGAAGAAGATTTTCAAAGATTTTTTCTATATATTTCTATGTAAAATTTTGATTCCTTATTGTGGCCCCGCCCAACCCCCGGGGGTCATGATTTGAACAATTTAAAATCTACACTACCCCAGGATGCTTTCACATAAGTTTCAGCTTTTCTGACCCAGTAGTTCTTGAGAAGGAGATTTTCAAAGATTTATTCTGTATATTTCTATGTAAAACTTGGATTCCCTATTGTGGCCCCGCCCAACCCCTGGGGGTCATGATTTGAACAATTTAGAATAAACACTAAAACAGCATGCTTCCACATAAGTTTCAGCTTTTCTGGCTCAGTGGTTCTTGAGAAAAAGATTTTCAAAGATTTTTCCAATATATTTCTATGTAAAATATTGATTCCCCATTGTGGCCCCGCCCTACCCCCGGGGATCATGATGTGTACAATTTAGAATCTACACTATACCAGGATGCTTTCACATAAGTTTCAGCTTTTCTTGCTCAGTGGTTCTTGAGAAGAAGATTTTAAAAGACTTTTCCTATATATTTCTATGTAAAACTTTGATTCCCCATTGTGGCCCCGCCCTACCCCCGGGGATCATGATGTGTACAATTTAGAATCTACACTACCCCAGGATGCTTTCACATAAGTTTCAGCTTTACTGGCCCAGTGGTTCTAGAGAAGAAGATTTTTTGAGATTTTTCCTATATATTTCTATGTAAAACTTTGATTCCCGAATGTGGCCCCGCCCAACCCCCGGGGGTCATGATTTGCACAATTTAGAATCTACACTATCCTAGGATGCTTCCACATAAGTTTCAGCTTTTCTTGCCCACTGGTTCTTGAGAAGAAGATTTTAAAAGACTTTTCCTATATATTTCTATGTAAAACTTTGATTCCCCATTGTGGCCCCGCCTTACCCCTGGGGGTCATGATTTGAACAATTTAGAATCTACACTACCCCAGGATGCTTCCACATAAGTTTCAGCTTTTCTGGCCCAGTGGTTCCTGAGAAGAAGATTTTTTAATGACCCCACCCTATTTTTGTCTTTTCTTGATTATCTCCCCTTGCGAGGGGATATGTCCCTTAATTTTACCAATTTTAAATCCCCCTTACCCAAGGATGCTTTGTACCAAGTTTGGTCAAAATTGGCCCAGTTGTTCTTGAGAAGAAGTCGAAAATGTGAAAAGTTTACAGACGGACGGACAGACAGACGGACAGACAGACAGACGGACAGACGGACGGACGGACGACGGACAAAATGTGATCAGAAAAGCTCACTTGAGCCTTCGGCTCAGGTGAGCTAAAAATCATGTTAAAACAAGAACTTTAAACTGCCCTGACATGAATCGAATCCATAATCAAGCAAAATATATGAAAAAGATGAAGATAATATATTCTTGGCAATGTTTATAAAGGTCTTGGGTGCAATACTCAAAATAAGTGACATTCTAAAATGAATGTTTACTTTTTAATATCATTTAATCAATCAATTTGTCTCTCAAATTCAATGCATGGTATCTTATCAAATCGGATATCAAAAGCAAGTTTTCCTAATAAAGACAAAAGATTGTAATAAGGTTTCTGTGTTTACGATACATTCATGTTATATATACATACCACATATGGCCAAACGGCTACCTCAGTCGCCGAGCTTCTCTTTCAGATTCCAGTAATGTCAAAATGTCCCCCTCACGAACTGGGCCCTTGACATTACGGATAATTGAACGGTTACTGTCATCCAAAAATTCTACTCGCACCTGAAATATATTGATCTTGCATTAGTAAGCAATACATCTGGCATTATTCCACTGCATTCAGTGGCTGTTTTCTTCCATTAAATTAATAAGTAAGATAAACATTTTAATTTAGGAGAATCGCCAGGTAAAGTAATCAAACGAAACGAAAGTGCAAGTTTAAAATTTGCTACGTTGTATTGTCAATACATGTAGCTCTGTACATCTTTGTTTGGACTTGAAATGGAGCAATCGGCTATTCGAATATTCGGCTATACTGATAACAGAAGGCTGGCAAATTTACTATTGGATTAAGGATACACCAAAGGTTTCCAAAGGTTTCCAAAGGGCAAAAACTAATTTGCTTGTAATTCTTTCATTAACAAAGATAACATATTAAAAGTATATATCATTTGAAAGCTTATTAAATTCACTATTTAATGGTCTTAATTTAAATTTTCATTTTTATCTTTTTAAAAAATTATTAATATCTTAATGTAAATATTAGTGCATTTATATTTTATAAATCAACTTTTTTGTATTCAACCTCTCAAAGTCAAAATTTTGCCTCAATGTAGATAAAAGATTGAACTTTAAAACCGTATCTCAGATTTTTGATAAATCTTCTTATTCAAAAGTTACATCCATTTGTCTTTCAATGTTACCAATTTATTAGCCTAATTCTACATTTCCCCCAATAATTAGAGAACTGAGCAAGATATAAAAAATCTGAGATACGGTTTTGTGAACACACATTTGAGACACATTCTGGCCAGTTTTCAGAGAAATTGGTCAATAAATAAGGGAGCTGAATCCTTTCAAAGAATACCACCAACTGTCTGATCTTACTTTACAGTAGAGGGCAAAAACCCATTACACAACGAAGTCTGCCAAAGCTGGAAATATATTACACCTTGGAGATTCAGCTTTGGATACCTGTCACTTATCCATATTTCCCATGCATATTCACAAGAATGGGAGGTTCTATTCTTTATTTAGGTGCTTTTAATGAAGTAAAATACGTTCAATTCTGAATCAGAAAGATTTCCCGGCAAAATGGCAAGAGTTAAGCTCCACCTCCTATTTCATGGTCATTAGTGACCTGTTAGATCTCCTTCCCGAAATCTAGAATCCCTGTAGTTTAATTACTGATAACCTCTGTGTGGCTAGTGAAGAATTCCCCAAGTGGTCACTGTGATTTATTGCTCTTTTCAGAAGCAGGCAGTTACAGAACAAATCAGAAGCTTCAATAACGGCACATTCACATGTGTTAGTGTTTATGTTTGATAATTGTTAAATAATTAGAAAACCATTTAATAATCAGCAAGAATTTTTCATGCATTATAAAGCAGTGATTAGCATTGTTTTCTTAGCCAAAAATCTCAAAATTGACAAAAATCTTGAAAAAAGCCTTTGGTGTATCCTTAAGCGGGATCCACTGTAGTACCATAAAGAATATAATACATGGCTTACGAACATGGCTTAATAATGCATTATTTTGTCATCTAACCATTCCAACTTTTTCATCTGGGCTACCTGAAATTGAATCTAGGTTGCCCAAGTGATGAATGATACAGATGTGAAAAAGAGGCCAAACTTATCACCTACTGCAAACTGACACATTCTTGGAATGGGGTTCTTTTCAATATGCGCACGATTTTGGTCTTCAAATGTTAAGAAGTGAATCAGACCTTTTAACAACTTAAAACATTCTTTTATCAAGGAGAGGGTGATTTTAATTTTTTTCATTTTGGCTGATCAATGAGAAAGTCCATAATAGGACGAGGGAAGACCCCTTACCCCTATAGCAAGCAAAGGAGAGTTATTTTGAGTAACATAACTGACCTCCTCATACACCAAGTAAAGAGTAAGTAAAACTACAAAACTGTGCATCCATGCGCAAAACACTTGACATATTGATAATACTAGTGTATTTGAAATTTGTTTTACCATTATGCACGTCTAGTAAATTGTCCATGACAAATGCAGACATATGTGTTTATTTTGAAACCAATTCCAACCAAGTCAAATGTTTATTTAAATTCCACATAAATATGAAAGCAAAATAATTTAAAAGAAAATTTGTGTATTACTGGTAAATGTTTTACCTGTGTACACTGTCCTTGTGAGCCTGTGCGACCAAGCACCTTCAAAACCTGTGATTTAAAAAAATCATTTTATTCATTTTTTTTAAATTTCAAAATAAGCTTAATTCAATTCAAATTCACCATACTTTTAAAAACTTGCTACATTCTTACAAAAATATAAAACAGAGACTTAACGGTCCAAAAAAATCATCTTTTTTTTT